GCAGATGAGTAGGGTAGGAGTCTGATTATGATTTGGGGGTTTTGAGTCGAGTCTTGTATTTAGGGGATGTGTGGTGATATTCTGTAGGGCTCGCATTCGGGGAGGGGGGGTCACGTCTGGTCGAAGCTGGGACTAAGGGTGTGGGTCGACATAAGTGTCGCGTGAGAGGAGGCAGGAGCGAGACGTGTCCTAGGCCGGCCGTGTCGCGGGTTTAATGCGGAGGCGGTGAGAGCACGTGGGGCCCGGGCGGCGGCCGCACTCGGCCACGGTGTTCAGGGGCCTGACTGGGGCGGCGCGGTCGGCAAAGGTCGCCGCCGTCTGCCGCGTCCTCAACACGGGCAAGGTGACCGCGAGTGCGGGGACATCTGTGTGTGTGTGTGTCTCTGTGTGTGTGTCTCTGTGTGTGTGTCTGTGTGTGTCTTTGTGTGTGTGTGTCTTTGTCTCTGTGTGTGTCTGTGTGTGTGTGTCTTTGTGTGTGTGTGTCTTTGTCTCTGTGTGTGTCTGTGTGTGTGTCTGTGTGTGTGTCTGTGTGTGTGTCTGTGTGTGTGTGTCTTTGTGTGTGTCTTTGTGTCTCTGTGTGTGTCTGTGTCTCTCTGTGTGTGTCTGTGTGTGTGTATGTGTGTGTGTCTCTGTGTGTGTCTATGTGTGTCTGTGTGTGTGTGTCTCTGTGTGTCTCTGTGTGTGTCTATGTGTGTCTGTGTGTCTCTGTGTGTGTCTGTGTGTGTGTGTGTGTCTCTGTGTGTGTCTGTGTGTCTGTGTGTGTGTCTCTGTGTGTGTCTGTGTGTGTGTGTGTCTCTGTGTGTCTGTGTGTGTCTCTGTGTGTGTGTCTGTGTGTGTGTCTGTGTGTGTGTGTCTGTGTGTGTGTGTGTCTCTGTGTGTGTGTGTCTCTGTGTGTGTGTCTGTGTGTGGCTGTGTGCGCCGCGTCGTCCGATGTCAACAGAATGTGCGTGTTGAGTATACAAGGTGGTGGTGGGGTGGGGGGTGGGGGGTGGTGGGTGGTGGGGGTGGTGTGGGGGGTGGTGGGGGTGGGGGTGGTGGGGTGGGTGGTGGGGTGGGCGGTGGGGGTGGTGGTGGGGGTGGGGGGTGGGGTGGGGGTGGTGGTGGGGGTGGTGGTGGTGGTGGTCACCTTTCACCTTCTACCACCCTCGCCTGCCGGCGGGCGGTTTAACGTTCACCTGCGGGAGAGCGAAGTGGCCTCCTCCTTCGCCGCTCTCCACTCACGAGCACTCCCTCGGGGCCTCTCTCTCCGCGTCCACCCCCCCCACCTCACTCCACTGGCTTCTTGAGTTTCGCTTCTCTCCACGGCGTTGCGTGTCGCGGGAACGCTTCGTGCACCTTCTGTGTGCCGCTGTCGCTGTGGCGGGCGTCGGTTTCCACCGCCGACGCGTGGTGCGACCTCCGAGTGAAATGTCCATCCGGGCAGTGGCGTGCCCTTCTCTCGCACTTGCGCCACGGAATCCCACAGTCCGGTGGCACAGTTATGATGGCTTCCTCCCCCCTTTGGACAACTCACAAAGTGGTACGAATTTTATTGACCCCACGCCCCCGGACGGATTGTGGGCTGAAACAAGGCCCCCACCTCCCGCTCCCCAAACAGGATTTGAACTCCGTGACCTCTAACTCGGGGGGGGGGGGGGGCGTTGGGGGATGCGCCGCTGGCCGGAGGAGCCCGCACGGCGCCCGTTGGTTCGCGACCGGTGCCGCCGTTTCCCCGGGAACTTGTTGCAGGCGATCTTCGGCCGTGCTTTAAAACAATATATACAGTATACATTTGTATTATTGGTGCGGGGTGGAGCGCGCATTCACAACGGTGTGGAGGATCGCTGTTGGTGCAGTCCATTGGTCAAGGATCCAAAACCAAAGCCACCTCTCAAGGGCAGTGTCCCAGTCCGGCCTTCGTCACACCTGGCCAGATGGCATCTGCAGTAAACCCCCACCACCACCACCACCACTGCCGCCCCACCCGACCCCGAGTCCCCGGTGTTTTGTACGTGTACACTCCCCTGTCGGGCAGCACAAGCAAGCAGCAGCGGCCACAGCGTGGCAGGAATACAAACACAAAATAAGAACCATTTTCTCGGACATACGACGGGCGCCTGACGTCCGCCTGACGTCCGCCTGACGTCCGCCTGACGTCCGCCTGACGTCCGCGTGCATGACGCGAGGTCGCGCTGTGCGACCCCCCGCGACCCCCCGCGACCCCCCGCGACCCCCCACGACCCCCCGCGACTTAGCAGGCGGCCTGGAGATTAATTTGCTCTCCCGGCTACCTTCATTATCATTGTCCCTAAATTCAAGGGCCATTTGCCTGCGCTCAAAATAATTATTGTCGGGAGGGGGGGGGGGAATCACCTGCCCCGGCCTTAGATGCGGCGCGCTATGCCGGCCGGCGCGAATCTCGCCGCCGATGGAGCAGCGAATTACCGCAGAGCTCTCGGCGTCCTGTGATTCACCCCGCCTCTACCCCCCCCCCCGCCCAGTGATTCCATAAATCATTGCGATTTCAAGTTGCGATTTGATTAAAGGATTGTTCGTGGGGTGGTTGTTTGGTTTTTCTGTCTCGTTATTTATTTCTCCACTGCCCCTGTAGTGCTGCTTAGTTGTCGCTGCTGCACTCGTCAGTCTACATGTCCCCACAGGTTACCTTTGGATCAAATATTAAATTATTGATTCCTACACCCAGGGTTCAATGCCCCTTCCCCCCCCTCTCCCACCAGTACGAACATAGTCAGAACCACGTGCTTCGCAATGGAACCCATGGTGTTACATCCGGGGTGAAGCGCCTTAGTTCCTTCCTTCCTGCAGAGTGATTGATGCTCCGGCACTCCACTAAAGTCGCTCCTTCAGCAGAAGCCAATAGCCTCCTTCACTCTTCACTCACGACAACCATGGTCGCTGTTCCCGTGAACTTCGCTCGTTCGTAGCCTCCGCTCGCGTTTAGGACTTGGACTCCCAGACCGCTTGGTCTCATCCTAGCTGTGTTCACCCGCCATCACACTGCAGGTCAGGACAGCACTCTCACTCACTCACCCACCCACCCACCCACTCACCCACCCACTCACTGACGCACCCACCCACTCACCACTAACTCACCCACTCACCCACCCACCCACTCACCCACCCACCCACTCACCCACCCACCCACTCACTCACCCACCCACTGACTCACCCACCCACTGACGCACCCACCCACTCACCCACCCACTGACGCACCTACTCACTCACCCACCCACTCACCCACCCACTCACCCACTCACCCACCCACTGACGCACCCACCCACTCACCCACCCACTAACTCACCCACCCACTAACTCACCCACTCACCCACCCACCCACTCAGCCACAACACTGCAGGTCACAACATGTCTCTCTGTCTGCTTCTTCCCTCGAACTGCGTCTCCCTCCCATCGTCGCTTTTCCAAAGCTCTTATTATAATATCCTTGCTCAGATCAACAACATCACACATCTTACACTCTCTTAACGATGGCAACCTTTACTGTTACTAATAATAACCTCGCTCAGAACAACAACAAGACACACTCTCTTATTTATTACAACACTAATAATGATATAGTTGTCCATGGGAGAGAAAAAAACACAGCTTCGTTAAGATCAAGTCCAACACGCTCGAAAGGTCGTCCTTCTGCCAAACGAATATTTGGTTAAAATTTAAATATAAGCCTTCCATGGAAAAGAAAAAAAACATTTAAAATTGTACGAAAATCCACGTAGGTTACCCGGTGTTACACACAGCGATGCAGTGTGAGGCATTAGACACGGGTCACCGAAACTATATGGATACGCGTTTCACGGAGGGCCCGTGACGCAGCGCAGCAGAACAACCACGCGCATCACAAGGGGGGTGGTGGTGGCCGCTGACTCGGCAGTGTGCCGTCCCGTTCTGGGATCAGGTCGGAGAATTGGCTTCAGGGAGCGCGGAATCCGGAACGTGACCCGCAATACCCGACGGGAACCGTGCCGGCTTCTAATTGTATCTGAAAGGGAAGCGGCGTGGTTTTTATTTTATTCGTGAATTAAAACAAAGAAATCAAAACTTGTGCCGGCAGCTGCATCGCGACCCCTCCCCCCCCCCCCCCCTCTTAAACATCGAAAACCCAGACCTGTGCTCGTCTCTCCCACGCACCTTCATCAACACCTGGACTCCCGCACGTAGCAAAGGTCACGGTTGTCGCCGTTGCAGATTGTATCCCCAATTGTTGCCTGTCCGCCCGGCGGCGAGAGAAGGTGCTCGCCATCGGGACGTCCATGGCGATAGCGCGTTACGTTTCAGTGCCGTCACTGTCACGAGAGGGTTGGGGGGGTTCTCTGTGCTCTCGGCCTTCGTCTGGGCACCCGCCGTGGTTCACTCAGCAGCACCAGTTTCTTCTGTCGTGATTCACACAGCAGCAGTTGTTTCTTCTGTCGTGATTCACTCAGCACCAGTTGTTTCTTCTGTCGTGGTTCACTCAGCACCAGTTTCTTCTGTCGTGATTCACACAGCAGCAGTTGTTTCTTCTGTCCATGACGCCGGAGCAGCCCTCCGCAAGACCCCCTCGGGCCTCCGATGGTCGAGAGCATTGTGCACCGTGCGTGTGCTGTGCCCGGCCTTCATAGCTGGCTGCTCGCTAACGGCACTTGCCCCCAACGGTCCTGTTACAGGCTACACGGGTGATCTTTGTCTCTGCAGCAGATCGCATGCTGCGCTGTGAACCCGGTGAGCCGAGTTCAATTCCTGCTCGCAACAACCAACACCGGTGACGAGTATCTGAATCGGTCCTGGGCCTCCCCTAGGTCGATTCATCCCCAAATTTATACCTGGTGCAGTGTGTGGTAAACATCGCCACTGGAAGAACAAAGGCGGTCGGGCGTGGTGTTGGCACACCCCACCCCCTCATGTGCCCTGCCGGCCTTCATAGGTACTCGCTAACAGCACTTGGCCCCAACACTCTGAAGGCTACATGGGGGATCTTTGTCTTTGCGTGTGTTTTTGCGGCGTAGCATGTCCATGGAGGTGTGCGTCGAGGGGGGCGCTCCCTGGGGGTTCCGTCTGGCCGGGGGTCGTGATGTCAGCAGGCCTCTCGTCATCACACAGGGTACCGCTCTCCGTGATGACACCACAACAACCACAACAACCACCACAACCACCACAACAACCACAACCACCACCACGGGCTGCCAACTCGGTGGTGGCGGCGGCGGCGGCGGCACCACGGCGCTTGTGCCAGGCCCAGTGCACTTTAGGCCACGTGAAGTGTCAGGAGGTCACGGGACAGACCCAGCCAGGTGCGTCGATTGACTGACTGAGAGGACCGGCTGGTGCAACACCTTGCCCCCTACTGTGCCCCCTACTGTGCCCCCTACTTGTGCCCCCCCTACTGTGCCCCCTACTGTGCCCCCCCTACTGTGGCCCCTACTGTGCCTCCTACTGTGCCCCCCCTACTGTGGCCCCCCCTACTGTGCCACTTGATGTGTTTTAGGCCGCCTGGCATTCCACTCATAAAACACGACTCAATGACTTAAGCCCTTCGTTTACAGCTATTTCACCCAGATTACCATTGCGTGTTGTAGTGTCGCGTTTAGCGATGGTAAACAGCGCCACTAGGGAGACAAAGGCGGCTGGGCGTGGTGTTGGCCACCCACCCCCTCGTCTACTGTGCTGGTCTTCACTTGCCCCAACAGTCTGTTGAGGCTATATGGGGATCTTTGTTTTGCGTCTGTTTGAGTTGTTAACAACGTCCTAAAGACGGTCATTTGAAGCAGCAGGCATACAACCCGTCACATCATAATGCGCTCCCGGAATGTTGGCTCCACTCTCTTCCAATCGATTTCAAATCAATTCTGAACTGTAAACAAGTTACTAAATTTCTCCACTTTAGTCGGTGGTTTGATTTTGTGATCCGTGTGGACCCAATGGCGGAGACAAGACTCACAATGTACGGGGGAGGCCGCTCCTCCCCGTACATTGTCACCGAGGCAGGCATATTAGTGTCACAACGGAGACCCCATATTAGTGTCACAACGGAAACCCCATTAGAGTGTCACAAACGGAGACCCCATATTAGTGTCACAACGGAGACCCCCATTATAGTGTCACAACGGAGACCCCTTTAGTGTCACAACGAAGACCCCATTATAGTGTCAACAACGGAGACCTCATTATAGTGTCACAACGGAGACTCCATTATAGTGTCACAACGGAGACCCCCATTATAGTGTCACAACGGAGACCCCATTATAGTGTCACAACGGAGACTCCATTATAGTGTCACAACGGAGACCCCATTATAGTGTCACAACGGAGACCCCATTATAGTGTCACAACGGAGACTCCATTATAGTGTCACAACGAGACCCCCATTATAGTGTCACACTCACGCTGTGGCGACGCGGTGCGAGTGTGAAACTCGCAGCTGTGCGACACGGAGCGAGTTCACACTCGCGCTGTGCGACACGGAGCGAGCTCACAGCTCACGCTGCGCCACACGGAGCGAGCTCACACTCGCGCCGTGAGACACGGAGCGAGCTCACACTCACGCTGCGCCACACGGAGCGAGCTCACACTCGCGGCCGTGAGACACGGAGCGAGCTCACACTCGCGCTGTGCACACGGAGCGAGCTCACACTCACATGCCGTGCCCACATGCGAGGAGCAGTGGTCGGTGGAGGAGACGTCTTGGAGCAAGGAGCCGAGCGCCGGGCATAGCCGGCGCTGCCAGCGGCTGACGGAGCCTTCTTGGACTCGGTCGGCACGTGCGCTGCTGCTGCTGCTGCTGTACGAAAGAGGCACAAGTCCTGCCCAAGTCGGAATTCTGTTGTACTTTGTAGAGCAGTCAGGTGACCGATGGTCTGGCCACTCGCTCGTTCCGCCTGGTCACTCAATCTGACGGCAGGTCAGGTCGCCTCCTTGTCTCTAGCTACTGCTGTGACCACGGTTGCTGTTTCCACTGAATGGCACTCGGTCCACCAGAACACTCACCCTCTCGTGTCACCCACCACACTGTGCTCAACCACCGCACTGCAGGCCACAACACCTCACCCACTCACCACACTTCAGGCCACAACAACACACCCACTCACCACACTTCAGGCCACAACAACTCACACCACTCAGCACACTTCAGGCCACAACAACTCACCCACTCAGCACACTGTAGCGCACAACAACTCACTCACTGAGCAACACTGCAGGCCACAACACCTCACCCACTCAGCACACTTCAGGCCACAACACCTCACCCACTCAGCACACTGCAGGCCACAACACCTCACCCACTCAGCACACTTCAGGCCACAACACCTCACCCACTCAGCACACTTGTGGCCACAAACAACTCACCCACTCAGCACACTGGAGGCCACAACACCTCACCCACTCAGCACACTTCAGGCCACAACAAACTCACCCACTCAGCACACTTCAGGCCACAACAACTCACCCACTCACCACACTCCAGGTCACAACACCTCACCCACTCAGCACACTACAGGGCACAACAACTCACCCACTCAGCACACTGAAAGCCGCAACAACTCACCCACTCAGCACACTTCAGGCCACAACAACTCACCCACTCACCACACTCCAGGTCACAACAACTCACCCACTCAGCACACTTCAGGCCACAACACCTCACCCACTCAGCACACTTGAGGCCACAACAACTCACCCACTCAGCACACTGCAGGCCACAACAACTCACCCACTCAGCACACTTGAGGCCACAACAACTCACCCACTCAGCACACTGCAGGCCACAACAACTCACCCACTCAGCACACTTCAGGCCACAACAACTCACCCACTCACCACACTCCAGGTCACCAACACCTCACCCACTCAGCACACTTCAGGCCACTACAACTCACCCACTCACCACACTCCAGGTCACAACACCTCACCCACGTCAGCACACTGCAGGCCACAAACACCTCACCCACTCAGCACACTGTAAGGCCTCAACAACTCACCCACCCACCACACTGCAGGTCACAACAAACTCACCCACTCAGCACACTTCATGCCACAACAACTCACCCACTCAGCACACTTGAAGCCACAACAACTCAACCCACTCAGCACACTGCAGGCCACAACAACTCACCCACTCACCACACTCCAGGTCACAACACCTCACCACCCACTCAGCACACTTCAGGCCACAACAACTCACCCACTCAGCACACTGCAGGTCACAACACCTCACCCACTCAGCACACTGCAGGCCACAACACCTCACCCACTCAGCACACTTCAGGCCACAACGACTCACCCACTCAGCACACTTCAGGCCACAACAACTCACCCACTCACCACACTCCAGGTCACAACACCTCACCCACTCAGCACACTGTAAGCCACAACAACTCACCCACTCAGCACACTCCAGGCCACAACAACTCACCCACTCACCCCACTCCAGGTCACAACAACTCACCCACTCAGCACACTGGAGGCCACAACAACTCACCCACTCAGCACACTGCAGGCCACAACAACTCACCCACTCAGCACACTGCAGGCCACAACACCTCACCCACTCAGCACGCTGCAAGCCACGACAACTCACCCACTCAGCACACTGCAAGCCGCAACAACTCACCCACCCAGCACACTTCATGCCACAACACCTCACCCACTCAGCACGCTGCAAGCCACAACAACTCACCCACTCAGCACACTACAGGCCACAACAACTCACCCACTCAGCACGCTGCAAGCCACAACAATTCACCCACTCAGACACACTGCAGACCACAACAACTCACCCACTCAGCACACTGCAGGCCACAAACACCTCACCCACTCAGCACGCTGCAAGCCACAACAACTCACCCACTCAGCACACTTCAGGCCACAACACCTCACCCACTCAGCACGCTGCAAGCCACAACAACTCACCCACTCAGCACACTGCAGGCCACAACAACTCACCCACTCAGCACACTGCAGGCCATAACAACTCACCCACTCAGCACACTTTAGGCCACAACACTCCTCTTTCTGCTCCATCCCTCCCACTGCTCCTCCCACCACCACCACCATCATCATCATCGTCGTCGTCTCTCTTCCCCCAAGCTCTTAAAACAACAACAACTAAACCCTTGCTCAATTAACGGAGCGGCGTGACACCCTTTGAATCCCTCACCACGGTTCTCGTGCTGTTCGTGGCGTGCAGCTTGACTTGTTTTAGCCTTTGGATGTGCTCTGCATTTCTACACGCATATAAAATAACAACATATACTTGTGCAGTGAGAGCGAGTGTGTGCGTGTGTGTGCGTGTGTGTGTGTGTGCGCGAGTGTGTGTGCGCGTGCGTGTGTGCGCGTGCGTGTGTGTGTGTGTGCGCGTGCGTGTGTGTGCGCGAGCGTGTGTGTGCATGTGTGTGCGTGTGTGTGTGCGCGAGTGTGTGTGCGTGTCTGTGCGTGCGTGAGTGTGTGTGTGTGCGTGTGTGTGTGTGTCGTGGACAGTGCTGTGGGGGGAGATCCAATTTTGATTGGCTCCTCCCCTCATGGCATATGTGTCCACCACAGGGGGCTAAACGGGGGCTCTGGACGGGTGCGAGGGGCTGGTAACCCCTCCACCTTCAATTAATTACCACGAAACCACGAGTTAAACTGAAATATGTAACTAATAAGCTTGTGCCGGAGGCCCCGGGGGGCCAGGCGTCTATGATGTCTCCTGGCCAAACCCCAATTGGCGGAGCCAGGAGATTGAATACCTACCCTCGGGCTACTCCAGAAACAACGAAAAGCCACTACGGGTGGCCACGTGGAATGTTCGAACGCTCACTGCGGAGGAGAGGCTGCCACTCCTCTGTCGGGAGCTGGACCGGTACCGCCTGGATCTATGCGGCATTCAGGAGGTCCGGTGGACCGGCTCTGGCTCCTGCCACCATGAGGGGTGGAGAGTCCTCTACTCGGGGCAGCAGACTGCCAAACAACAGGGTGTGGCTCTTCTTTTGAACAAAAGAATGAAGGGGGCGTGGGAGCGTGGCGGTGAGGTGTGGGAAGCTGTAAGCCCCAGGCTACTTTGGGCTCGCCTTCCCATCAACTGGAGGCGAGGAATGGTGGTCGTGGTTACTTATGCCCCCACCG